CCTTGTGGTGACGTCATGACAGCGACGGCCCTGATTGGATAACGGGGAAGCCGCTGGCTGCCATTCTGTGGTGGGGTCACCTCTCTCTACTTCTTCTGGCCACTTGGCTAGGCCTAGAGGGCGTACGGGCGGTTCGAAATAGTGGGCGCAACTAGATTCTAGATCTATCTCTGACTCTATGGGTCTCTCGTCTAAATGTTTTCCGCTCCCCTCGGCACAATTTAGATTACATGAGTCGAAACTGTCCAAGACGGTCACCCACTGTCGAGGAGAATACTTATTGTCTCAGATGGACGTCTCGGACAGTGTCATTATATATGTATGTATATTATATATTAGCTGGGCACCCTCTCGATGAAAGGAATGATCGTTGCATTAGCATCAACTGAAAGTCATTGGTCTACTATATTGTAAACTCTACTGGAATGGAGCAATAAATCTTGAGAGATGCAAAAAATATTAGAAGGTCTATATCTATGCTCTCAAAACAAAATGCGCCTCGCCAAATATCACTTCGGCACTTCCGTTGTGGAGGACAGCTACGCCGATTTGTTCCGTTCTCAGTGGAATAATCACCAAGGCCAAAGAAGGACGGGAACTATTTGTCAAATATATTTTTCTAAATTCAGGAAATGAATAAATCAAAATTCGGGCTCCGTCATGGGCACCTATCTATCTTTTTTTGCAGGTACTTGCCAACTTTCAACTCTGTAACTGTCGTAGTTTTATGTGCGAAAAGTGACAAATGTGTTTCCAAGTTGCGAAATATATTTAAAAATCTTATACAAAGCGGAAGTGGGAAGTCTTCGTTTGTGCTGGTGATTATCTTGAACATGTGACCGTTGGCGCACGTTTGACTGCTTTTGGACAGATATGTCAGGGCGGTATGATACGGAATATTAATTCAGGAGCGAAGCGTCTATATAATCAAATAATCACTGCTTCCCTTCCTAATTTTGAAACATTGTCGCTGTCAAATTCACCTATAAACGTAAACCTCATAAATTAAATGTAAAAAGACGTTCATAATCAACAATGAACAGTATGCCTAACATTCAAAAAGGTTTCACTGCCACAGAAATAGCCTGCTCACCCCTCTCGGGCCACTCCATAAGCAGTCACAAGCTTTGATTAAGTAAGCTTAAAGTGAAGCTGGAAGAGTCTACCAATAGAGTTGAAGGGAACAGGTCCACAGCAGTCAAAACTGTTTCATTGCCATAAATACCCTGTTCACCCCTTTGGGGCCACAGTTATAAGCAGTCGCAAACTCTGATTATGTAAGCTAACTATTACACTGGTCGAGTCTACCTCACAAATGTGAGGGTAACTAACTCTTAACAATCTCTTGACTGCTGCAAGTGCTTGCTTTTTTCCTCGACTTTTTTGCCGTCCTATAAATCAGATCATGACACCGATTATGACACCGCCTCCTGGCCGCGAAAGGCTAGACAAAAAAAGCCAAATGTGAAATTTTAAAAAAGGATAATTGTCATGTTCTACCAAAGAGTTAGACTCTCGGGTAGATCTATAACATATAGATCTAGTTCTGACATCTCTGCTTCTTTGCTTTGTGTTTGTGTATTCACATCTAAAGTTAAATTTAATTTTAGTTGGAATTAATATTTAATAAGATACTTTCCCGATTATTTTGGCGGTTGAACATACAATATGAATTCCGGATTTGTTTTCATTCACAATTCACAACTCAGAGTCGCCGCCTCCAGTAAGATGCTTGTGTTATAATAATATCCCCAGGCCATATCTGGTCTCGTTTCACTTTGATTACCCTGTCAAACAAGTCAGCTTTCCCCCCTGAATAGTATTAGTCCTATATTTCTCCCGAAAGTCGGAGAAACATAATATATTGTCCAGGTGGGAATCGAGCTCTCGTCTGTAGATTTCCTCAATTGCAAAGAATCAAATCATTACAACACAAACGTGTTCGTTGTCTTTTTTGCTTACAACATTCATCAGATCGTGACTGTTTGCCCTGTGAGGGTTAACTGAATAATTACAATCTAGCTAGTTTAATTTCTTAATTATGATATATCAAAGTTTTTATTTGTCATGTACGTATTCTTTAAGCTTTGCAAGACGATTATCCAATTTTTTAAACTTTTACATTTTGTGTGTGATGGATCGGGGAAAAGCGGGTGAGGGTGGAAGGGAGCTCATATTTTCACTTTACCAGAGAAACAGAAATGTGAAACACATTTACTACCCCTTGTTTTTGAAACATGAGGATACAAGCTGTGAGTTTCAAAAGTCATCGGACTGGTTGTTTTTGTTTTTTTTTTGGCGAGGTGCGCGTTACATGCGAATTGTTGTTGTTGTGGGGTTTTTTTTGGGGGGGGAGGGGGGGAGGGGTTCATGTGTGTGTGTGTGTGTGTGTGTGTGTGTGTGTGTGTGTGTGTGTGTGTGTGTGTGTGTGTGTGTGTTTGTGCGTGCGTGTGTTTGTGCGTGCGTTTGTTGTTGTTTTAGCCTTTTTGTCATATAAGCTTACATGGCAAGTCAAACACGCGTTCAAGACCAGGGATATCTCAATTCGAGAATTTTCCGTTCAAATGTGAAGTCAGTCCTGTTGTACGGATGTGAGACATGGGACGCGTCCTAGACTTGCATAAAGAGGATCCAGGTTTTCTTGAAAAAAGTGTCGAAGAAAGAAGGATCAGATGGACAGACAGAGTCTTGTTAAAGAAAACAAGACAGATTCCAGTCAGAGAAGAGGTTGAAAAAAGGCTGTGGCGATGGATTGGACATACTCTCAGGAAGTCAGGCAGCTGCATAACAAAGAAAGTGTTGTATTGGGTCCCAGAGGGTGAAAGATCAAGGGGAAGACTGCGTGGTACCTGCAGAAGAATCACAGAACTTGATGTACAGAAAAGTGCGAAGACATGGACTAACATCAAGAGGCTAGCCCAGGATAGAGAAAGGAGGAAAGTTTTTTGTTCGTGGGCTATACCCTGGTACAGGGTGAGAAAGACAATGCTGATGATTAAACACTCGTTGCGTCCGACAAACTGGTGGGGTGGGGGGGTGTCTATTTTCGAACCGAGTGATTGCTCTAACATATTCCGGTTCCAAGTCATCTAGGTCATGGATTTAAACCTTGTCAGACACCCCCCCCCCCCCCCCCCCAGGCGGTGCCACTGACTAAAGTGTCTTTAGGCCATTCCCAAAGGGGGAGGGGGGGGGCATTTCTAGTTCTAACGCACAATAGAATTGTAAATGGGCTGATCCAACAATGTCATACTCATAACTGTGCCTGGACTACAACAACAGGGATCTGATGCTTTTTCTTTCTAATCCTTACTATCGTCATTTTCCTCTACTTCTTTTGTATGTTTGTCACACTCATGTTACCCGCTATTTCCGGGGTGCCTTGGTAGTCGAAGCAGACCTTGTGCTGTTGAAGCTAGAGAGGTGAGCAGAGTAAGTCTTATTCCCTGTAAGCCCTTCTCTGTTGACATCCATCCCTTGACGCACATATGACCTTATGCAGTTGCGAGCTCCGTAAAACCTCTACTAAAACAAACAAAACCCGACGTTTTACCCTGGGAAAGGCACATTACACGAATTTTCCTCACTTCACGCAAGGAGGGGGGGGGGAGGGAGACAGTATCCGATTATAGACAGCGAAAGGTCTTGTCTATATGCTAGTGTTTTAGCGCATATTTAGTGCACTGTTTATTTCTCAGGAAGTTGAGATTGTTTCTGAATAATATAGGCTTTGTGGGTTTTATTTAGATTAAATAACAATTGTAATAGCTGTAGAGCAGCTTTCAGAGTGCATTTCCGACCAGGACAACGCGCTGCATTATTTAGTATTATTGTGGCAAATGCTATGATCTGCCACCTATCCACATAGTATGTTACTTGCAGAATTAATCGCCAAGTTGACAACATCACGAATACCGAGATAGAAATTCAGATCAATGTTTTGTACAACATGATATTGCAATGTACAAGATGTAACAGAGAGTATTGTAGGAACCGAGAGTAGGGGAGCTCTCGTGGTCTACAGGTTGTGGTGTTAGCCTCTCATTCAATAGGTCACGGGTTCAAAACCTGACAGAGACGGAAAATTTTCTTCTCTAAAATTGTCTCCTTTCACAGCCTCTCCTGCTCTCTAACCGTTTTCTGTCATTTGCTTTCGTCTCCAATTTCTGCTGCCCCCTCCTCTGGACTCATTACTCTTTCTGAAAGCTTTCTACTGCTACTCCTTGGCTCCTTCTAACTGCTATCTTTCAGCCATACCCCTGGTCGTATGGCAGGAAAGATCTGTCATTTAGCCTTCTCGGATAAGGGCGGGAAATCCCTTGGTGGTCTTAAAATCGAGAAATGTAGGCTTCGGCTGCCATCCGGGCAACATTCAAAATTTCTGTCAAACGGAAAATATTTAATGTGTCCCGCGCGCTATGACCTCGTGCAGTTGCGAGAGCCGTAAAACACTTACCAAAAAAATATAAATAAATAAAGGAAAAGGGAAAAGGAAAAGAACCTACCTAGAGTAGGCTGCTGTTGTGTGTATTTATAAATCATTTTCTGTCGTGTTCGCCGAGCTCAAAGTGTCGAAAGTAACGTACCTAAATCTCTGCTTACTTATACTTATAGTGCGATCAAAAATTCAGGGCGCAACTTATCCTGAAATATCTCTTTAACGGGTGAATCAATGCCGCCCATCCTTTGCACAGAAGCTTACATCAATAAGTCTTAACTTAATCGTGTTTTTACACAACAATTGGGGCTTTTTTTTTTTTTTTAACTATTCTTAATAAGTTGTTGTTTTTTTTTAAGTACACATCTCCGCCATGCGGAAAAACGGATTGTTCACAGCATTTCCCGCTTCTCACACACATTTTGCATACGATTATGACCTACGTCACAAGTCACCAATGACACTTTTTAGTGGCAAAATGTGTAACAAGAAATTAATTTTATAGTGAACACCTTTTTACACTAAAGGTTCTCAAACCATGCGTTCAATGAGCATAATGTTG